CGACTTTGGTAATAGTAGGTAAGAGAAACGTAATTATTATGCAAACAGAAATTCATGTATGGTACATCAGAGACGAATCACACGAAATCACATATTATAACACATGTATTCTGCTGTACTTTCACTCGCTCGCTTCGCTCGTGAAAGTATGGCCGCAGGATACACCGCATCACTCATGAAAATAACTTCAATATGCTTCAGACTTGCAAAAATATCTTGTCTATTTTTTGGTGATTTTTTAAATAAAATGTGGGAAATGGCGAAAGCCTGGTTACTGTGAAATAAACAAGATGCATGATACATTTCAAGATGGCCATGAATGGCGGACAAGTGATTGCTAGCACAACTCGATCGGGAAACTGTCTGCATCGTCCTTGGGTTGAATATAGAATAACTGGATAATCATAGAAGACTGTTCAAAGCTGGCCAAGCTATCGAAGTGATGCATAGCCTTGTATCATTACTACAATTTTGATGTACTCTTGTAATGCCACCAGTATAAAACTCTAAACGAATATTGCGAAATGCAAGCGCTCAAAATGGAAATAAATTATTGAGAATTAACTCCTATTTTGACCTTAGTGATGACACAAGTATATCTTGTTTCTTTTGCTGTGAATTTAATAGAACGTCTAGGCTATACAATTAGTTTGACAGTAGATTGTGACTGAAGTATTTTGTCTTCTAATAAACTAATTGAGAAAGGTCATATCTGTAATGTCCACAAAACGAATAAAACTAAGGGTTAAAAATATAAACATGTAAATTAAATTAGATTGAGATTTTCCACAGATAAGGTGAAGATGAATGAATACTTTATGTTACTTCACTTTACTTTACTTTACTACGGGCAAGTTAAAAATATAGATTGTACATTTCTATCATATAATTAAGTAATATATAAATTGTTTAACTAATTCGATTGTAATTGAGACTGTATTTGTTCTTACAAGTTGTAGTAAATGCATATTTATTAACCTTTAGATAATGGAGACACAGGTTGTAGTTCTAAGCCACTGACACATCTAATAAAGCTTCCCACGGGCTGTACTGATGGCTCTGGTTCTAACAGTTACAACATTGGTAAGTGCTCAAAGGAAGTTTGTGCAAGCCAGGAGGATGCAAGTATAGAGTGTGTGAATGCAGAAGAATACTGTTGTTCACCGGTGTTAATTGATGATGTGACTGTCCTATGTGATGGTTTTGATGTATCCATACAAGTAGTCTCAGAATGTGGATGTATGGCTTGTGGACCACCAACAACTAAAGTAATTGGCCGTGCTGGTGGAGTTGATGGTGTTCCATTACCATATGGGGATATATACATTGATGGAGAACATGTCGGACAGACCTCTGCCACTGGCGAGTTCAGCATTGAAGTGTCAAAGGGGAAGAAACGACTTGCTCTAACATTCCGTGATAAGTACAACCTATTCATTGATTCAGCCACAAAAATCATCAATATTTTAGATGAAACAGAAGTGTATCACCAAATCTTCATCCAACGCCTTGCAGACCCTGTGACAATCAGTGCAACCGAAAAGTCAACTGTACCATTAGGTACTAACGGACATATTGAGTTGGATATTCCTGGAGATGGTTTTTACACAGAAGATGGATTGCTATACACAGGTGATGTAAAAGCAACGGTTACCTTCAATGATCCTTCTGATCCATCTGCTGCAGACACAATGGAAAGTGATTTCACCACACGTGATATTGAGGGAAACACACAATTGTTGAAAACTTATGGTGTTTTCAACATGAAATTTCAGGATGAGAGCAGCAACAACCTTCGTGTTGATGCACCGATGGAGATATTCATAAATGCAGACCAAGCTAACATTGATCTGACAGAGGTCGATGATGATGGTAATCCTAGTCTTCGGCTGTGGATTTTGAATCAAATCAGTGGTGAATGGGAAGACTTTGGTGGTTTGGGAATAGTACAAGAAAAACGCAAGAAAAGGGACACAGAGAACTTCTTGGTGGGAAACATCGATGTAACAGGCTATGATCTAAGTGACATTACAATTAATTTAGATAAACCAATGTACTGGAGTTGTTTTCTTAAAGTAAGAGTATATGAAGATGAAGCAATGAAGCAACTGTTGGAAGGAGTTCAAGTAACTGCCATTACTAATGATTTGATTCGTAGGACTCACTCTGAAATAGGGATTGGTGCTGGAATATTCAGTTTCTTCAAAAAGGAAACAACAGATGCAGAAGGAACTGTATGTATGAGGACTTTCTGT